GGCAGCCCCCCTCCCCCAGTCCCAGGAGACTCGGAGTCTCTGGAAGACCCAAGGAAAAGACTGAGGAGTGTGTGAATTCCTTCAAAATGATGGATCAAAATGTGGAAATATACAAGATATGCATTTTTCAATGAATGAGTCAAAAGTTACTTAGATTTTCCAAAATGGTCCTGACTCCCTAAAAGGTTAAGAAAGATAGGTTTAGATCATTGCCTTTTACTTTGTGTGGTCTCCACTATCTCAAACATATACTGGACCTTCCCAGAACGTCCTGGGAAGTTATCTTCTGCATTTAGCCTGGAGAGGAAAGGTTCTAGGCCCAAGTCCTGGCCCACTGACCTGATACGGCTCATTTTTTGAGAGGAAACCTCGATACTCTTGGGACCTACTTCCCAAATGACACAGCTTTCCTTAGAGGCATGGGTAGTGCTGAAGAGCAAAGCTTCCTTCCTAGGTAGTACCCAGCCTGTGGCATTTCCAGGTTGCATTGCTAAGGGCAGCAGTCCCAGCCAGTTCCACCCCTCTGGTGACCAGGCAGATCCGGGAAGCTATATATAGGGTCATTGGCTGCGGTGCTCTGAAGCTTTTCTGCACTCAGGTTCGTCCGCCTCATGGGCATAGCAGGAAGAGAATTTGCCTTGGCTTTGGGCGCAGGAGCATGCGAAGAGCAAAGGAGAGTTAATGATCTCACGGCACAGACACCGTCTTGATTCCTCTAAGCCGCTGCTGCAGCTTAAAAACCCTTTCAGGCTGGAAAGAACTAGGTTTTTTGTGCTCTCTCCCCTCCTGTTTCTCTTTTCTCTCCCTGTGTCCGTCTCTCCTTCTCTCTGTTTTTCTCTCCATCCTCCTCCTGGGCACCCTGATGCTCAGTCCTCGGGGCCGGGTCACCGTGGGGCGCCGAGGTGGAAGTGGCTGGAGCACCGCGCTAGCGGTGGAGCAGCCTTCTGGGCCGGGAGCTCGGAGCAGCCACTGCCCGCAGCGACCGCAGCTTCTGGAATCTCAGAAGCCAGAGCTGGAGCTCTACCTAGACAGCTCTCTCGTGCGCTTTCAGGGTCCTCTCAGGTCCCTCTTCCTCCAGAATTCAGGGCTGGGTTCACACTGGGAGGAAGGAGGCAAAATGCTGCACCTATGACCGGGATACAGGAGTCCTTCCCAGCCTCAGGCAGCGGCCTGAGCGGTCTATTTCCTGGGATGCCGGCGTTCAGCAATGCCAGCTCCAACTGGAACCGGAGGGGCAGACAGGCCTGGGGTATCCTGGAGACCTGTAGCCCACAGGGACAAGGCAGAGACCTCCCGGGTTCCACTGGATCTGGCCGGAAAACGTTGCATTTCCTGAGACTAGTATGAGGGTCACACTTGGGGGCTAGCACCCCAGGCCGGCCATTTCCAGTTGGCTAAAACAGCGCCCCTGAGTCTGCTGAGCAAAGGGCCTGGCCTCCACATGCTCTTATAACAGGGCCAGAAGCCCAGCCCGGCCTAGCAGGGAACGGATTTCCTCATCGGGGCCTCGTTAAAATGCACACACTGCAGGAGTTAGGACTGCCCTAGCTGAGGGTATGGGAGGGAGGGGAAGAGGGGAGGGGACAGAGAGGCAGGAGTGTAGTGACTTTGCTTCTCGTTGTAGCCTCCAGGAGCATATGAGTGCCAAAGCTAAAAGGAGAGCAGGAGCATAAGGCAGCAGAGTTGACACCATGCACACCCCTCTAAGTCTCCCCCTTGGGCCAGCCAAGGACCCCAGGGTCACCATTTTACTTCCCCGAAATGACTGTTGGCTTAGAGTCTTCTCTGGGTGATGAGGGGATGCTTGGACCTAGCTCTGGCCTTGAGAGTGGGAGTAGGGGCGTCTTCTGCTTCCCATCCCGACTCCAGCCAGCCCACCAAAGTCCGCTGACAGGAGTTGTAGAGAAGGCGTGCCAGGTGAGCACAGCACCAGAGGAGAAGATCCTAACTGGATCAACGGACGAGGGTAGAGAAGTGTTGGGGATTAAGGGCTAGGGAACAGCCATTGCATTTTGGGGAAAATCTGTAGGATACTGGAATTAGAGGCAAGTCATCCTGGGCTCCCGACACTCTGAGGAGCCTGACAGCCGTAGCGTCAGGTTTGCCACTTTTGGGGAGCCGGAATTCAGACAAGGGGCCAGCTCCAGGTCCAGAACAGAATGGGAAGCACGTGAGTCCGCGACATGGCCCCTTCAGTGGTCAGAGCACACCGGGGACTAGTGGCAGCTTCTGTGACAGGGATGGTGAGCATCCAAGGTGGACTGGACGTGCACCATTAACACCCGACTTGTTAACTGCGCGGGGGCCCAAGGGCGCTTCAAACAGACGCGGGTATGGGGCTTACGTCTGGGTAGGGGCGGAGCGAGCCCAGTGGCCAGGTCCCCCACCAGCCACGTTGGGGCAGCCCCCACAACTCCCGGCCTTCCGACTGAGGTGTCGGGCTTGAGTCTCCTGACCCATCAATACAGATTACATATTTATATCAATCGCGGGCTCCGAGGGCGCCCTCGGAGAGCGGCCCCGCGCTACGAAACCAAACTGGGAGTGGTCGCGCGGAAACTCTGGCTCGGGATTGGCTGCGGGCGCCCGCCGTGGTGCGGGGGGATTGCTAATCGTATTCAGCATGTTTTGCACAAGAAATGTCAGCCAGAAAGGGCTATCTGCTCCCTTCGCCAAATTATCCCACAACAATGTCATGCTCGGAGAGCCCCGCCGCGAACTCTTTTTTGGTCGACTCGCTCATCAGCTCCGGCAGAGGCGAGGCAGGCAGCGGTGGCGGTGGCGCGGGGGGCGGCGGCGGTGGCGGTTACTACGCCCACGGAGGGGTCTACCTGCCGCCTGCCGCCGACCTGCCCTACGGGCTGCAGAGCTGCGGGCTCTTCCCCGGGCTGGGCGGCAAGCGCAATGAGGCAGCGTCGCCAAGCGGCGGTGGGGGTGGCGGGGGTCTAGGTTCCGGGGCGCACGGCTATGGGCCCGCGCCCATAGACCTGTGGCTAGACGCGCCCCGGTCTTGCCGGATGGAGCCACCCGAAGGGCCGCCGCCGCCGCCCCAGCAGCAGCCGCCGCCCCCGCCGCAACCACCCCAGCCCCCGCCTCAGGCCACCTCGTGCTCTTTCACGCAGAACATCAAAGAAGAGAGCTCCTACTGCCTCTACGACTCCGCGGACAAATGCCCCAAAGGCTCGGCCACCGCTGCCGAACTGGGTCCCTTCCCACGGGGCCCGCCGCCCGACGGCTGCGCCTTGGGTGCCTCCAGCGGGGTGCCAGTGCCTGGCTACTTCCGCCTCTCACAGGCCTACGGCACGGCCAAGGGCTATGGCAGCGGCGGCGGCGGCGTGCAGCAGCTCGGGGCGGGCCCGTTCCCCGCGCAGCCCCCCGGGCGCGGCTTCGATCCGCCGCCCGCGCTAGCCTCCGGCTCGGCAGATGCAGCCCGGAAGGAGCGAGCCCTCGATTCGCCGCCGCCTCCTTCTCTGGCTTGCGGCGGCGGCGGGGGCTCGCAGGGCGACGAGGAGGCGCACGCGTCGTCCTCGGCCGCGGAGGAGCTCTCCCCGGCCCCTTCCGAGAGCAGCAAAGCCTCGCCGGAGAAGGACTCCCTGGGTAAGCAGGGGTGCAGAGGGCTGCAGTCAGGCGGGCGCACAGGCAGACGCAGGGAAAAGAATCAGAGAACCAGGAGCCCGCGCGGCAGCCGGCCGGCCTTGGCCCAAGCTGCAGCAGGCTGACCTTGTGAACTTGCTTTTTAATATTTGGGCGTGGGGACGCAGTAAAATTCATGTCCGGCTTAGCGCCCCACAGCAAGACGTCCTCGGCCCTGGCCGCAGCTCCCCCTGACTTGGGGCGAGGACACCAGAGAGCAGGCCCCCTCCTGTGCGTTCTTCCCTGTGGCCGGGAGCACCCCGTGCCCTGGTCCCTGCCCAGCCTGCGCGGCGCGGCCCACGCGGGGGGGTGGGGGGAGGGAGGGAAAGTAGCTCGCCCGCAGATAGCACGGATGTTTGTAAGGCATCCAAAATAAGCAGCCGCCAGCGCCAATAAATAAGCCTATTAACCGGCGAAGTTCGAGTTTACGATCCCCCATGCTTTTTTCAAAGTTGCTGAGGGGCGGGAATCTTCGTTGCGGGGAGAAGAAAAGGCAAATCCGGCCTGGAAGCTGGGGACCCTGAGCTGAGAGCCAGAGAAGGGCCATTTCGCTTCCCCTGGAACTCCGAATCGCCCAGCTACCTACCCCTGGCTCCTGGAGAGACTTGAGGGAGGGCCCTTGACCCCCAATAGTTTTTCGTGCCTTCTCAGTTGGACCAAGGATGCTCTTCTCTCTCCCCTTATCAAGTCTTGGGCAATCAGAGCCCTCGGGTGAGAGAGCCAAGCTGCCCGGTCCACCTTCCAAGTAAGCACCCCGTGCTCCTAGCCTGGGGGCTACAGAAAATGTTTGTCTGCCATATGGCAAGAAGCAAAGAAAAGCGTTAAGTTCAAGATGTACAGCCTGCCTGCCCTCCCAGGCCCTTCCTTCTGCAAACACCTACGGCTTAGGGCTAAAACAGGTGTTTGGGAAAGTGGGGAAAATGTAAATTGGAAGCGTGGTGTAGATTGAAGGCCCACTTGATTTTTGGAGGAACTGCTTGCTCTCAGCAAGCCAAAACGGGGGGCACAACTCTTTTCTCTGTGACTTGGGACATCTCTCTTATGGCAGAAATGGAGGCAATTCACCCCTGCAGACAGTCCGTGTGGCCTCGACCTAATCTTCCCCTTTTTATTCTCTTACACGCCAGGCAATTCCAAAGGTGAAAACGCAGCCAACTGGCTCACAGCAAAGAGTGGTCGGAAGAAGCGCTGCCCCTACACGAAGCACCAGACACTGGAGCTGGAGAAGGAGTTTCTGTTCAACATGTACCTTACTCGAGAGCGGCGCCTAGAGATTAGCCGCAGCGTCCACCTCACGGACAGACAAGTGAAAATCTGGTTTCAGAACCGCAGGATGAAACTGAAGAAAATGAATCGAGAAAACCGGATCCGGGAGCTCACAGCCAACTTTAATTTTTCCTGATGAAGCTCCAGACGACGCGGTTTTCCCACTTTCCGAGCGCTGGTCCCCTCCCTCTGTCTTCAGCCTCTGCCCAGGAACCCGCACCTGTGTTGGAGCCCTGTTCCTCCCTCCCACTCTCGCCATCTCCTGGGCCGTTACATCTGTGCAGGGCTGGTTTGTTCTGACTTTTTTTTTTTCTTTGTGTTTGCTTGGTGCTGGTTTATTTGTTGTTTTCTGGGGGAAAAAGCCATATCGTGCTAAAATTCTATAGAGATATTGTCCTAAGTGTCAAGTCGTGACTGGGCTGGTTTGCTGTCTTGGGGTCCCACTGCTGGAAATGGCCCCTGTCCTCCGCCGAGCTGGTTTCCTGCCCAGCCTGGGGCAAACCTAGCCGGAAGGCCGAGGTCCCATTGTTGGCGCTGAGGTGTCTGGCCTGAGGTCAATGGTGCAAGGAGCCGCCACCGGGCACGTCTGCCTGGAGTGCTACGCTGTGCTTAATCAGGGGATACAGGCCCCTGCGTTTCTTTTTTCTTTCTTCCTTTCTTCCTTGGCCAAGAGAAGGGCTTACAGGCATGGACATGCAGGTTGGCAAACGGGCTTGACATTGGCTGGTTTAAAAAGTGAGAAAGTCAGAAAGATTATTTTTTTTCCTTCCTCTGTAAGATATCCCAGCTTTAAAAAGAAAAAAATTACCAAGAGAAGGGGACTTCTCTTCCAGTTTCTGTAAGGTCTTACATTGCCTGACTAAAATGTTTGATTTACCTCTAAATTTCCATATCCTTCTGGCTGTAGATAAATAATATAGTTTTGTTTATATATGTGGAATTAGTGGATTTTTTTTGTCCTTAAAATCGTTACCACTGGTAACATGCGACAAGCACACCACAATTCTCCCTATCTTGTGAAGTTGCTTTTTTAAATCACCTTGAACAAAAAGGTTTTTTTAAATTTTTGCTTTCTGAAACTCAGAGAAGCCTAGGAGGACTGGGGTAAGTGGAATGAACTAGAGAAGGGAGACATTGTTTAGATTTCCTTTATACTGTGAAGTTACATGCATAAAAGGGTCAAACCTGTCGATGCAGAAAAAGAAAAAACTATAAATACAAATCTGTATAAATGTCTATTATTATGAAGAATTGCCAATCTTGTTTTAAGCAAATGCATTCTATCGTTATTATAAATGTTAGTTCTAGCTCTATTTACTTCTAATCTTAAATCAGAATAAATTAATATTGTATTGCTGCTGTGCGTGGAAAAAAGACGATGTTTATGTTCTTATAGAATAAAAGCTGTGGAATGAAGCTTTTTAATTTTACCTCTTTTTTGACTTCTTATCTTCACCTTCCACTTTATCCCGTTCACCACTTTTACAACAGGAGGACTAACCCGAGCCTCCTGCAATTACTTGAGGCATCTATTTAAATATTACCTAGACGGTCGTAATTTGTCTGGGCCCTATAGCCCTGGTGCCGTAAGGTTTGTCGGCTTTTGTTCAGTTTTATGACTTGCTAGTATATCTGGATTGTGGCTGTCTTGGACCAGTGATTTCAGTTGAGAGGGGAGCTGCATAGACAGAGGAAGCCAAACAGGATTTCTTTCGGGAGCCCCAGGGAGGCTGGTGGAGGCCGGTTATTTTGCGGGTGTCTGGGTCTCAGATGACCCTCAATCTGAGTCGTGGAGCAGGCCTGGCCCACAGTGCATCCCTAGCGCTGGGGGCAGCCGTTAGGTGGACCCGGCTGGGCTGCATGGGGGCCGCCCCCTCCCCCAGCACGGCCTCCCCCACCTGGCGGCCCTTGGTAGGGCCACGCGTTTCCTGCTTGCCAGAGTTGGGGGGGGGGCGTTAGGGGGAGGGGGCGCGGGAGCGCGCGCCCCGGCGGGCGGGCAACTAGGAGGGAGGAGGAGGAGAGCAAGCGGTGGGAGGCCGCGGCCAGACAAGGAGCAGGGCTCCGTACCGTCCCTGGCGCTTTCGAGTCTTCCATGGCTGCCGCCTCTTGGCGCCGGCTCTCTGGGCGGCAAGATTTGGGAAAGCAGCGCGCACACTGCTCTTCGGAGCAGCTCTCGTCTCGCCTGCTCCCCGCCTTTATTCATCTCCTCCTGCCTTTCCTCCCTTTCTTTCCCTCCCTCTCCTTCCCAGGCATACCTTACTGGGGCCTGAGGCTTCCCCTATGACGCATTTGCGGCCGCCTGGGGCACTCTGTCACTGCGGCGGGCGCAGGTTGTCTAGGGGCTGGGCTGGGCCGGCGCGATCGCAGGGTTCTCTCCTTGGCGGCGGTGGTGGCAGCGGCGGCGGCGGCGGCGGCGGCGGCGGGCGAGCGAGGCAGCCCGGCTCGCGGGCAGCACCAGAACTGGTCGGTGATTTAGGTAGTTTCCTGTTGTTGGGATCCACCTTTCTCTCGACAGCACGACACTGCCTTCATTACTTCAGTTGAAATCGTCTCCAGGTACCTGTGAGCGCGGGGCGGGGGGGCGGGGGTCTGGCCGGGCGGGGCATCACGGCCCTGGTCGTGCCAGGCCTGCGGTGGCAACCTCGGCTTTCCCTGCGCAGGAGCCTCGTGTCTTTCTCCGTGCTGTGCCAGAAGGCCGGCTTTCCCCTTCCACCACACACCTCCACCTGGCTCACTGCAGGTAAGGTCAGGTTAGCTGCTTCTTCGCGGATGCCAGGGGCGTGGTAAGAATTCTGGGCCTTGGGCCATTCAAGGTCAGGGGCGCGCTTCCATCCTGAGCCTCCGCCACTCAAGGCATTCGCCTGCCCAGGGACCTCCTGCCATTCTCTTACAAGGCTGGAACACACATACACACATCCCAGTCCTGGGTGTGAGCTTAGGAAAGAACCTTCTGCCAGTGGAGACTAGGAAGGATAGGGCAGGCAGAGGCTGGGATCCTGCCCTTGTCACTTACCCTTCTCTCTGTAAGCCTGGCCTCTGCTAGGAATCGCCCCTCTTTTCTTCTTTCTTTTCGCCCTCCAGCCTTCCTCTTTTATCCCTTCTTTTCTTTCCTTTGCTCCTTCCTGCTTTTTCTTCCATTTGTCTTTTTTTTTTTTTTTAATCTTCTATCTCTGTCAGATTCTATTTCACCTCCTTATCTCCTTCCCAAAACATCCTTGGGGAGGAGCCCAGGGCTGGCTTCAGGAGAGCCTAGAGACTTTCATTTTTCTCTGCAGCTCAAGTAGAGGTTGGGAAGCCTGCGGAGGAATGGCCCGCGTGGGGTGGCTGCTGAGGGCTGTGGGTTTGGGCCTGGTGTGCTGCTGCGCAGACAAGGCCTCGGTTATGATCACGACCGGATGGCGGCGGCCTTGCGTTTCTTCTCAGCCTGTCGCTAACGGCTAACTAGGAGATCTGATTAGGGCGCATTCGCTGCATCTTTGTGTGCCCACATGGAAGGCAGGGAGGCCTTCACCAGCCTTACCAGGGACTGGAGCTGAGGCCCAACCAGCCCACTGGAACCTGGCCACTGGGGAGCTTTGCTGGGAAGCTCTTAGCCAGCTTTTCCTGGCCCGCCGTTCACAGCTGGGACTTCGACCACATTGAGAGACCGGTTGGGGCAAAGTTTGACTGCTTGCTTGCTAGTGGCTTCTATCAGGTACACAATATGTTCCATACAGTACCTTTGTGCAGCTGGGTGCTGGAGAAGGGGACCCTTCCAAGAGCCAGTATGTTTCAAATGGGCAGGAGAAATCCTAAATTCCAGAACCATTGATATAAACTGAGTCCTGGTTCCAACTTGTAGTCTACAGATGGGAGCCAGTCTGACCATTTTCACTATGGAAAACAGAAAACAAACCATCCCTCCCTACCTCTAACACACACACTTACAGATTCCTGCCCACAGAGCTGTTACCCTTCCATGCCTGGACTGGAGGCCCAGGAACTGTCGCACAGCCCCCGACCTGCTGTCTGAGAGGCCTGTGTGCCCCGTTTCCTTCAACTCCTTACTGCCATTTTCTCGACCAGGGTATTGGATTTACTTCAGAGATCACAGTTTTAGAAATCTCAGTCGAGAAGGGGTGTTTTAAATTATACTCATTTATTATTTATGTATATGCAATCTCTTTCACTTCTAAAATAAAAGCAGACACAAAAGTCTGAATGTCTGGCTCTAAACCTGTGGGCTAAAAGGAGGCAATATTTGGTTTTGTGTTTTTTCTCCCCTTTCTACGAACCAGTAACATCTGGTTAACACTCAACGCCTGCTAATTATTTAGTAATCCTCTTATTTTGGGGCTAGGGCTATTTAAACGAATAGCTTTGTTACTTTAAAAATACTAATAATAATGTCTTTTCTGCTACGAAAAGTGGAAAAGGCATCCAGACATGCCCAGCCCATTTGCAGACACTTAAAATTAGGAGCAAGTGTTTTCTCCAGGGTTAACTTTTTAAGTGAAACTCTCAGAGGCCTGGGGGACTGCGGGGATATTTAGGACACGGTGAACTGTGGTTGGAGTGGGCATGACGCAGAGGAATTTACGGGGTAAGGAAAATGGGGAGGGAGATGCGGACGGGACGGGCCTCGTCGGAGTTCACTGTGTAGTCCACTTCCCTCTTCCCGGTGCGGGTGCAGCAAGGCGGACCCAGTCGGTATCTGTGCCATGTCGCAGCCTCGCTCCCGGCGGAAAGCCCGGTATTTGGGAGTCCCAGCGGGAAGTGTGTCAGGGTGTTTGGCGGGGGGGGGGGGGGGGAATTACTGGAACTGCCAGTGAGGATGAAGGCAAAAAAAAAAAAAGAGAGATGGAAGAGACCGAGGCCGCCAGCCTCACCGCCAGGGAAGTGGGCTAATGAGAAACACACTGTTGCAGTCACAGGATCCACACGTGAATTTGATTACCTCTTCTAGGAGTCGCTGCTTTCTGTTAGGAGTTGTGGGGGGGTGGTCCTTCCAATTAACGGAGTAGCTGCTACCTTTTAATTTACCCCTAACGGGTGAGAAATAAACTTCCCCAACGTGGCCAGGCCGAGAAATGGGATTAGAGTCGATGCCCTTGTGCCCTTCCTCGCTCAAATTTCCAGCCCTGGCCTTGAGCTGTGGCTACCCTCTTTGGGTCTTGTACCTCTCCGCCGAGTCGCCGGGTCCCGTAGGTAACCAAAGCGAGGCCAGGAGTAGTGGCCTGAAAGGGAGGAAGGAAGGAGCCCTGAAAGGCTCACACGGCCCCGGACAGGCCACAGCTGTGCGGCTTCCCAGCCACCTCACTTAGGCGGGGCTGCCTTTTCCGAAGCCTAACTCGCCTTCTATTGATGTCACTTGCTGAGGTTTTTTGTTTGTTTGTTTGTTTTTCCTTCCCCCTGCCCCCAGCTGGGGTTCAGGGAGCGCGACCAAGCTTGCAGCCCTCAGGGTTAGGGCCTCTGAGGTGGAGAACAGGGCTGGGTGGCCAGCCGCCTGCGCCTGGAAATTCTGGTTCCCAGCTGATAAGAAGGGCGTGGAGTCGAGAACCCGGGGACCGAGGGCGCCTCACAAAAAACCAGGCTCTCAAACCCTTCGACCTTGGAGCCTCTGGCCGCTATCCTCCGGCCAGCTCCTCGGTGGGGTCCTCAGAGGAGGAGCAAAGGCAAATTTAAGGGCTGCCCTGGCGCGAGTCGCTCCAGGCGGGTAGCCGTGGGGACCTACACCCGCGATGCTCCCTGGATGCCGGTCCCTGTCTGGAGTGCCCTGGCAGGGCCGGTGGCAGCTCCATTTGGGACAGATACTGCGTTGAATTTGACTTTTTGTGGCCGGCGGTAAACTCACCTCTCCCGGGGACTGCAGGGATTATTTACAGGGAGCTCGCCAACCAAACACAACAGTCTAATTTAACCTTTCCAAGTCCTCGTAAATTTTTACAGCTGGGAGCCAAGGCAAGGCAAACGAATCTGTTGGTCGTTCCCGACTTCCCGCCAGCCTGTGTGGCTTCTGAAACAATAACTCCTTATGAAATATCATAAATATAGATTTAAATACAGTAGAGCGAGAATGCGATTTGGCTGCTTTTTTATGGCTTCAATTATTGTCTAATTTTATGTGAGGGGCTCCGCTGGCCGCACTCGCACGCGGGACCCGCGCCTTCCTGATGGCGTGATTAATTGTGATATAAAATAGTCCGCTTAAGAAGTGTGTGCATGGGGTGGGGCGGCAGGGGAGAATACAGAGGCAAGGCCACATTCGATCTTTTAATCTTCGTTGTCCACAATTAAAACAAACCCGATCGTAGAGCGGCACGATCCCTTTGCATAAAAACATATGGCTTTTGCTATAAAAATTATGACTGCAAAACACCGGGCCATTAATAGTGTGCGGAGTGATTTACGCGTTATTGTTCTGCCGGGCGGGCACGTGACGCGCGCGGCCAATGGGGGCGCGGGCGCCGCCAACTTATTAGGTGACTGTACTCCCCCCCCCCCCCCGGTGCCACCAAGTTGTTACATGAAATCTGCAGTTTCATAATTTCCGTGGGTCGGGCCGGGCCGGCCAGGCGCTGGGCACGGCGATGGCCACCACTGGGGCCCTGGGCAACTACTACGTGGACTCGTTCCTGCTGGGCGCAGACGCTGCTGACGAGCTGAGCGCTGGCCGCTATGCGCCGGGTACTCTGGGCCAGCCCCCCCGGCAGGCGGCGACGCTGGCCGAGCACCCCGACTTCAGCCCGTGCAGCTTCCAGTCCAAGGCGGCGGTGTTCGGCGCCTCGTGGAACCCGGTGCACGCGGCGGGCACCAACACTGTACCCGCTGCGGTGTACCACCACCACCACCACCCCTACGTGCACCCCCAGGCGCCCATGGCGGCGGCGGCGCCGGACGGCAGGTACATGCGCTCCTGGCTGGAGCCCACGCCCGGTGCGCTCTCCTTCGCGGGCTTGCCCTCCAGCCGGCCTTATGGCATTAAACCTGAACCGCTGTCGGCCAGAAGGGGTGACTGTCCCACGCTTGACACTCACACTTTGTCCCTGACTGACTATGCTTGTGGTTCTCCTCCAGTTGATAGAGAAAAACAACCCAGCGAAGGCGCCTTCTCTGAAAACAATGCTGAGAATGAGAGCAGCGGAGACAAGCCCCCCATCGATCCCAGTAAGTGTCCCTTCAAATCCGCCGCCACCGCCGCCGCCTCCACGCCGGCCTCCCGGATCTGCTAGCCCGCCAGCTTTCTCTTGAGCCTGCCTTAGTCATCGCTGGGAACCTCCTGAGTTGGGGCCGGGAGCCAGAAGTTGGTGTTTGGGACGCCTCGGATAAGGCCCCAAGTCGGGAGAGCAGTGAGGAGCCACTCGCAGGGTTGCGGGAGAGGAGGCGGCTGCTGCAGGGACAGGGGGCGGGGTGGGCACGGCACTACAGGCCGAACCAAGACTGGCCGCCCCTCTTCTTGGCTGCGCGGGCCCAGGACCGAGATACTTTGGGCCATTCTTCGAAAGCAATGCAGCCGAGAGAGCCTTTTGTGCGACTAGATTATTTGCGAGCGGCAGCAGCAGGGCAGCCGAAGCCGGGACGCTGGGGAAGACGGCGGATTCCCTCCACTTCTTGCCTTCGGCCAGTGGCGGCGTAAATCCTGCCAAGATGAGGCTGCGGGCGACCGGGGCCACAAGGGTCCCCATGCCAGATTATTCAAATAAGCCAGAGACGTGATCAACAGCCTTGGGGAGCCCTGCGGCTTACCCAGCTCCGAAGGCCTTCTAGGAAGGTCAAATAAGGAGTGAGGCGCGTAGAGGGAAAGGTGGGGAAGACAAGCCAAGCCAGTGAGCAGGAGAGAGGAATTCCATTCTCACAAGGCGCAAGGCAGCATGCTTTCCCTCTGCGTGGCAAGAAGGAAATCTATTTCCAAATTTCATTCTATACAGCGCTGGGAGAGTGGGAGGAAGGAGAGGGGGAACAAGAGGACAGAGTAAGAAAAAGGAGGGTCTTGGAGGGGAGGGAGAGCCGAAGTTTTACTGCGTGCAATTGTAAGTGACCGTCTGTGCGTCTGACTGTCAGGGTTCCATTGTGTCCGAGGCCTGACTGCCTTTCCTAACTAATTCAGCGGAATTCTGCATTTTGGCCAGAGACCCCACCCAGGAGGTTCCTTTGCCCCCAGAAGAGTGTGCCTCTCCTCCTCCTAAACCCAGTGTCTCTCTTCCCCACAGATAACCCAGCGGCCAACTGGCTTCATGCGCGCTCGACTCGGAAAAAGCGCTGCCCCTATACAAAACACCAGACCCTGGAACTGGAGAAAGAGTTTCTGTTCAACATGTACCTCACCAGGGACCGCAGGTACGAGGTGGCCCGGCTGCTCAACCTCACCGAGAGGCAGGTCAAGATCTGGTTCCAGAACCGCAGGATGAAAATGAAGAAAATCAACA